TTTGACCGCAGTTTTATTTAGAGAGAGAAAATCAGTATGACGGGGGCACTGCCCTATAATTCCTAGAATAAAGACACTGAATGACCTTAGGTATCCTGCAAGCGATCTCTTGAAAAAGTGATCTGCTTACCCAACCCTTTTCAAAAATCGTAATCTAAAATATTGCGAATAAGGGCGCTTCAGATAAGTCCGCCAAAACTTGAATTTTCAATTCCAATGCTTGACTTCTGTAAAACTAAAATTAGGACTTATTGTATATCATTCGAAAGAACTTGACGAGTTTTTCAAAATGGTTTTCGAAAAGTTGACGATGCTCATACCTCACTGCTTGAAAATTGCTAAAGAAGAAAGACTGTTTCAGCAGTGCTGTGAAATGTTAAAGTACTAAAACAAAAAATCATGAGGAAATTCGAAACTGGCCGACGGAATGAAGGTTTCAATAAAGCGGGCTTATATGCTGAATTTTAAGGTAATTGTTTTTGATGCCTCACTTGTCGAAGTCAGAATAACCGAAATTACTTTGTTAATTGATTTGAGGAGGTAAAAGAGATCATATACGTGATATATAATAAAGCATTCCCCTTTTCATCATGCTCATTTTGATATACCAGCAATCTAATTAAGTTATTTTGACACCAACAATTCCTTTGTTTTAGAAGAAGGACCAGCGACATCGAAAAACTTGTTTTCTCTAAGCCGTTTCATTCTCACGGTGAAAACCTTATTTGGATAGATCTTTCAAGACCATGGACTAACCCGATTTTTAGGTTTGCATCCATAAAACACTGGCGGCGCGCATTTACAACTTGCACTTGGACTCGCAAGGATCGAATATCTTACGTATAAAAAAGCAGATGCGATGTGACAACCACATCCATCAATCATCCAGCCTTCCTCCTCCAACCATAAACAACAAAAATTGTGCTTAAAAAATAAAAAAAAATCTTTCAGATGTTCCGTTTCGTCTTCTTCGTTCTCTGCTCTTTCTTGTTCTTCTCCAACGCTAATGCCTTCGGATTCGGTCTCGGTGGCGGTGGCGGGTAAGTTTTCCTTTCTCAAAAAGTATTTCAGAGCCTTTAATGATGCGTTTCAGTAGCAGCTGCTGCCCACCACCAGCTCCATGCTGTCCTCCTCCAGCTCCACCACCAGCACCATGCTGCCCACCTCCGGCACCATCCTGCGGAGGAGGATGTGGAAAGTAAAATGTATT